ATCCAGCGGACCGAGGCGAGGCTCAGACTCCACCCAGAATTTTCTCTCCATCCTCAGCCTCACCTGGGGCCTCTGAGGCCGACCTGCCTACAACTCGAATACAGCCCCTGCCTGGGGCCGAGTGGGCGGCGCGGGGCAGCTGGCGCAGCCTGGAAGGGAGGAAGGAGGGGCGGGGAAGCTGTGCGCTGCGATGCAGGGAACACGGGCGGGGAACCCGTAAGCGCTCCTTGTCAGATGGCTGGTAGAGAAAAAATAACAGGAAGCCTGTAGGGCACGGGTGACTGAGGCCCGGCCCCTCCCTCACCCCTTAATACTTCACTCACTCTAATATGATTCTCACCCCCCCAACTCTGCGTATAGACAGACCAGGCTGAAACTTTGAGTCCTGGGCCTGCAGGACAGAAGAGTCCAGAGTCACCTCCCCCACCCCCTCACTTGGACCTCCTCATTCTCTAGTGAGACGACTGGTCGTGGGAGCCCCCTCTGGGGGGCCTTTCAGTCAGAGAGTGCGCGCCAAATTAAAATAATAAGAGTGATGGGACTTCCCTGGAGGTCCAGTGGTTAAGACTCGGCACTTCCAACGAGGGGCGGGAGAGGGGGGTGTCTAGCCCTGGTCCCAGAACTAAGATCTAACAAGCTGCTTAGCACAACCAAAAAAAAAAGTTTTTAATAGAAAAAGTTAATAAACACTTCGATAGATAATAGTAGTGAGTGTGTTTGGGGCACATCCTAGGTGCCTGACAGGAAACGTTTCACACAGCCATCAAACTGACTCCTCCCTATCACCCTGTTCGTTTATTCCTGCGTTGGTTTTGACAACTACTTACTAAGCACTTACTGTATGTCAGTTCCATTCCTGTATTCCAGGAATACAGCAGTGAACAAATCAGATAAGATGCACAACCAAAAAAAAAGTTTTTAATAGAAAAAGTTAATAAACACTTCGATAGATAATAGTAGTGAGTGTGTTTGGGGCACATCCTAGGTGCCTGACAGGAAACGTTTCACACAGCCATCAAACTGACTCCTCCCTATCACCCTGTTCGTTTATTCCTGCGTTGGTTTTGACAACTACTTACTAAGCACTTACTGTATGTCAGTTCCATTCCTGTATTCCAGGAATACAGCAGTGAACAAATCAGATAAGATTCCCTGCTCCTCAGAGCCGATATTCAAGAGAAGAGACCAACAGGAAACAAGATAAATAAGTCAAATGGATCTCAGGCTAGAGGGTGCTAAGTGCTAACAAGGAAATTAAAACCATGAAGTGGGGAGGAGCTGTTTAATAGGGACCCATTTTTTCAGGTGAGTAAACTGCATATTTGAAAGGGAAGTCACTTCCCAAGGTCACACAGGGAGAGTGAGCTGGGTACCTGATCTGCCTCTCTGGGTCTCCCTCCTGCTCTGGCCTCTGAATGAGCGGCTGACACCCAGAGAAAGGGAGTCAGAGGAGACACACAGAACAGGATGGCCTGGTACAGCTGTGGGAGTTGTGCACTGCACAACTCCAGGAGTGCCATTCACGAAGACCAGAGCGTGAATGCTGCCCCCTGGAGTCAGGAAGTGCACAGGAATCACAAATCTATGCCATGTTCTAGGGACAGGTCACAGGTAGCCCTGGAAAGGAAGCTCAGTCACCCACTGGACTGTCCTCTATAGCTTGCGTTACTGTACTAGGTTTGTTTGCCTGACACACAACAAGCCAAGCCTGAAACACCAAAATTTGTAGCAGAGAAAGGGCTTACTCACAAGGCAGCCAAGCAAGGAGAAGGGGGAGCAAATCTCAAGCCCACCTCCCTGAAGGTGAGGGGCTCAGGATATTTATGAGAAAGAACTGAGGCTTGGGGAGCAAGGGGAAAGTGATCTGAGATTTTTTTCATATTTATTTATTTATTTGGTTGCACTTGGTCTTAGTTGAGGCCATGTGAATCCTTACTTGTGGCATGTGGGATCTAGTTGCTTGACCAGAGATCGAACCCAGGCCCCCTGCATTGGGAGCACAGAGTCTCAACCACTGGACCACCAGGGAAGTCCCTGGAGCCAAAGAATTAAATTAAATTAGTCCAAGACAATATAAAGATCCTTAATTACCTTTGCAAAGGAATGTTTTCCAAATAAGATCACATTTACAGGTTTCCAAGATTAGGGTATGGGCATACCTTTTGGGGGACCATGATTCAACCTGCTGCAGGTCGGATTTAAAGCCCCACATGGGACTGAGTGTGCATGGAGACAGACGCCATCCAGCCCCACTCTTCTTGTTCACCTCTGGGTCCTCAAGATCTGATGCAGCTGTTCATAAAAGAAAGATGTAGTAGTAATAAGTAACACTTATCTAATGCTGTGCCAAGAACTGGGCTTCCCTCTTGGCTCAATGGTAAAGAATCCGCCTGCCAATGCAGGAGATGCAGGTTTGATCCCTGGGAGGGGAAGATCCCCTGGAGAATGAAAGGCAGCCCACTCCAGTATTCTTGCCTGGGAAATCCTGTGGACAGAGGACCCTGGCACTCTACAGTCCATGGGATTGCAAAAGAGTTGGACACAACTGAGTGACTAAACAACATGACAAGAACTGCTGTAAGTACTTCGTATAATTAACACGTTTAATGTTGCAACATAAAAAATGATATTTCATTTTACAAAAAAGCTAAATACACTCACCCAGCCCACACAACTAGCATTCTAATCCAGGACACCTGTTCTCTTAAATAGAGGAAACCCCCTTGGCCCAAGTGGAGGGATCTGGCTTGCTTTAGAGAACCACACATATTACAAACACAAAACAAGCTTACTGAAGAATGCATGATGCCGCTGTCACCTGAGATCTTACAAAGGAACCTGCATAGAACAACCATAACTCTAAACATGGCATCTGTGGGAATTCCCTGATGGTCCAGTAGTTAAGACTCTGTGCTTCCACTGCATTGGACACAGGTTCGATCCCTGGCAGGGAACTAAGACCCTGCATGCCTCGGTGTGGCAAAAAAATAAAACAAACAAATAAAAAAACACATGACATGTCTTGGTATCAATGTCACTCAGGCCCTAGGAGGGCCCTCCTGGGTGTGAATGTGGTTGTGCAGCTGCCAATGCTGGAAAGAGGCTGCTTAGGAATGTGAGGAGGATTTGGGCACCAGAAAACTTTAGGTGTTAAGTTTCCCTGGTGGTTCAGTTGGTAGAGAATCTGCCTGCAATGCAAGAGCCATGGGTTCAATTCCCAGGTCAGGAAGATCCCCTGGAGAAGGAAATGGCAATCCACTCTAGTATTCTTGCCTGGAGAATCCCATGGACTGAGGAGCCTGGTGGGCTACAGTCCATGGGGTCGCAAGAGTCAGATATGACTTAGCAACTAAACCAACCAACCAAGTTTAGGTAAGAGGAAAGACAAATGATCATGTATCTCCATGTCCTAAGGCTGCCATAACAAGGTACCACAAAGCAGGTGACTTAAAACAAGAAAAAGTTATAGTCTCACAGTTCTGGAGGCTGTGAGCAGGGCCATGGTCATTCCCAAGGCTCTGGGGGAAGAACCTTCCTGGCCTACGTTCCTTGGTGTTAATAGGCTTGTAGATGCATCACTCCAGCCTCTGCCTCCAGCATCACATGATGTTCTGGGTGTCTGTCTGCTTCCACATTTCACTCTTAGGGCTTCCCTGGTGGCTCAGTACTAAAGAATCCCCCTGTCAAGCAGGAGACGTGGGTTCGATCCCTGGGTCCAGGAAGATCCCACATGCCTAGGAACAACTAGACCCATATGCCACAACTACTGAACCTGTGCGCTAAAGGCGGGGAGCTGCAACCATTGAAGCCAGTGCCCCCTACAGCCTGTGCTCTGAAACAAGAGAAGCCACTGCAATGAGAAGTCGGTGCACCACAACTGGAGAGTAGCTCCCTCTTGCTGCAACTAGAGAAAAAGCCCACAGCAACAAAGACCGTGCACAGCCATAAATAAATACATAAAATTACAATTAAAAACATTTCCCTTTTATAAGAAGGGCATCAGTCATTAGATTAGGACCCACCCAAGTCTGTCATGACCACATCTTAACTTGATTACATCTGCAAAACCCTGTTTTCAGGTAAGTTCACATTCACAGATTCTCCGTGGTTAAAGACTTCAACATATATTTGGCAGGAGGTAGGGGATCAGACGGTGGAAGACAGTTCAACCCACAGCAGCTTGTCAAATGAAATCTAATCTTGCACAGCCAAGTATCATTTCCCAACACTGCCAAGCATCCAGTGAAAATTTTTTCTTTTGTGTCCCAATCCTGTGCTGAGGTTCCAGAGATAGTAACAAATTAACACATCATTTGCATTTGTTACAGCTGCACATGGAGGCAGCATTTGGCCAAGAAGTATTAAGAAATATATATATATATGTGTGTATTTAAAAGTATTTTAAATATACACATATAGAAGCGCTAACCTAACAGATGTGAAATGTAATACCAATTCTTTACAGTGGCAAGTAGAGGAATACTAGAATCACAACTTCCTCCATTTTTACAAAGTATTCAGTAGGATTTATTTAAAAGCTCAGTTTAATAGGAACTTCCCTGATGGTGCAGTGGCTAAGATTCTGTGCTCCCAATGCAGGGGCCCTGGGTTTGTTCCCTGGTCAGGAAACTAGATCCC